ATGACCGGTGACGGTGTGAACGACGCTCCGGCCCTGGCTCAGGCCGACATTGGTATTGCTGTGGATGATGCGACGGATGCCGCCCGTGCTGCCGCCGATATTGTGCTTGTTTCCCCCGGTCTGAGTGTGATCATCACGGCCATCCGCATGAGTCGTGAGATCTTCCTGCGTATGAAGAACTATGCCATGTACTCGATCGCCATGACGGTGCGTATCGTGTTCACGTTCGGTATCCTGACGGTGGCGTGGAACTGGTACTTCCCTCCGATTCTTGTTGTGATCCTGGCCATCCTGAACGACGGTACGATCCTGACGATCTCGAAGGACAACGTGGTTGCGTCGCCCCACCCGGACTCGTGGAAGCTGAAGGAGGTGTTCATTTCGTCGATCTCGTTCGGTCTGTGGTTGACTCTGTCTACGATTGTGCTGTTCGCGATCGTGAACAACTCGAGTGGTTTCGAGAGCACTGGTGTAGAGAACCTGTGCGTGGGCTGCATGAAGGATGAGTGCCACGACTTCTTCCAGGGCCAGTACCAGACGTGCGTGATGGAGAACAACGCGACTGGCTGTGGTGAGATGACGGGTAGCGTGCCCCAGGCTGCTAGCGTGTCGGACGTGGGTGCTTTCCGTGAGAGCGCCATCAACGCGTACTGGACACAGTACCAGGAGAAGTACGACTCGCGCTCGAAGCTGTTCGAGGACCTTGCGGACGTGCACCTCAACTGGCTGCCGAACGACGCGAAGCCGTCGGCTGAGACTGCGTACAACCAGTTCGTGTACTCGTACACTCTGGGTGTTGGCGGTGAGGCGTACGAGGGCGACTACGATGTGTTCAACGCTGCTCAGCTGGGCAAGGGTGTGACGTTCATCGGTAACGACGAGGTGCCCATCACGAACGAGGTGAGCTTCTGCGACTACGTGTGGGGATTCAGCAACTGGAACTCGACGTGGACTCGCGACAATGAGATGATCGGCCCTGGCATCCAGCGCAAGGAGGGTGTGCTCCGTTCGCTGGTGTACCTGCAGGTGTCTATCTCCGGCCAGGCTCTGATCTTCGTGACGCGTACGGCCGGCAGCAACAACTGGTTCTTCGCTGAGAAGCCGTGCAACCTGCTGCTGATCGCCTTCGTGTTTGCCCAGGTGGTTGCTTCGGTGATCGGCTGGATTGGTTTCGGTGGTTACCCGACGGACCGTATTGCCGTGATCGGCTGCGGCGGCGGCTACACTCTGATTGCGTGGCTGTGGGCCATCGTGTGGCAGTTCCCGCTCGACCTGATCAAGTTCACGGTCAACTACATCTTGACGAAGAACACGTACGCGAGCAAGGCGTTCACGGAGCGCATCAACGCGGGCCACCCGACGATGACGCACTCTGTGGTGACGAACACGCAGCGCTCGATCCGCGCCAGCCGCACTGTGTAAACAGGGTTTGGCTGTGGGTCTTCGAGCTGAAGCAGCGGCTTGCTGGTGTGAGAAAAGTAGCCGATGGAAGGCGTTCTCGCTCAATAGCAGCCGCAGGCATATTTGCTGGTGCGTTTACTTGCTACAAGTTGACTCGCGCAATGGGTGCGCGCAGCCTGTGGTGAGCTTACATGTGCAACATGTATGCTGTAGTATTACTTAGTATGGAATTGATAATAAATTCTTTTTCCAAGTAAAATGTTTTAGTTGGTTTAGATAAACTACACGTTGTTGTTTAATTAGTGGAATATTAGTATGATCATCTATATTACTACTGTAGTGGTTATAAATGTATTATCATTGGTCGTGCTGCTACTCGCGGTCCTCCTGCGTGGCACTTCCACCAGCTCCTGACAGAGCTTTAGTACCTCAAGCTTTAACTACGTGTATCAAGACTGTTGGAGCCCCTGCAATTGTTTGCTTGAGATCTTGTTTGCTTATTGCTCGTGAGAACACATGCCTTTGTAAATATGCATTAAACTTGCTACGGTAGATTGGTATAAAAAAGTTATACCAACTTACTGTAGCAAGTTTTAAGGCATGAGAGGCCATGCTAACAGCGCTTATAACAATACGATCCACTTCCAGCATTAAGTGTGAGATTCGCTCCAGACTGCTTTCGCGTAGACCTCCACAACGAATACGATATTAATAGATAAGCTTGTGAAAAACCCAAGCAGCTCCGAAGCAAAGATCGAAAATTCCAGCCCATATCGAGATTTCTCATGGATCGTCCCGAAAAAATAAATCTCAATGATTGATAATAAGTCGTCGACAAGGCCCTTACACACAGCGTTTCATTATCTTCGAATCGAAGGATATCTATCAACAAGTCCTGCAAACATCAGACCAATTCACGGCGTCAGCTATTATCGAACGTGAATCTGAAGCGTCCTCGATTGCCACAGCGCGTTCACATCGCACCAGCGTCATATTGGTTTCAGTGGACAACCCCCGCGCATCCTCCCTCATAATGACACTGAGCGACTAAGTTATCGATTTCGCTCTTAGCAATCAGTCTTTTTTTCGTTATCGTACAAGCATGGTTGTCGTGCACTGGCAAGTCGCCTGCCGCAAGCACGTTTGGCTGGCACCCCGTGCTGGCGCCGGACAACTATCTTGCAACATTTGCATATTATAATGCGATGGCCGGTGTTGTACGCTTTAGCGACACGCTATTATACGATCGCATCAACGGCATACACTCATCGGTAGGCAGCAAAACTTGCCTGCGTACATCTGTAGTATTCCGTCAGGGACCTTCACGTCAGGGTGTTGGTGTTCAGTAATACTGGCTGGTAGTAGAGAGCAGTGTACGTACCTACCACCACCGCCGCCAGGGAACCGCGTCTTTTTCGGCCAGGGTAGCTCGAGCTGTCTGTCGAGCGGTAAGGTTGTTGCGTCTTCAGTGTAACTCAAGACGTACCGGTACAGGACACAAATCGACTGCGTTGCTGGAGGGAAAACCGCAGAAGTGGCGAGGGTATCAGTGACAGACTTGAAACGTGCGGGATTCAGCAACACACGCCATCGCACGATTGTTACAAGGATAACGTGCGCGCGCAGCGTGACAAGCTCACTTCAGGCCAGCGCGAAGCTGCCGTTACATGTGTGGACACTCGGCCTAGTCCGCCGGTCCAGTCAGCCCCGGTGCAACGGGGGACTTCCCCGAGCTCTTCCCCTGGAAGAGCTGACCACGCCGATACAGCGGAGACCTGGACCGGCTCGTGCGCTGCAATTGGCCGAACGGCACCCGCTCTATATGTGATTTTACAGTGTTTCGCTACGTGTCTGAGTCGGCTATCAATGCATTTCACTATGTTACACGCACTGCACAACTCTCACACTTTTGCACGTGGCGCAAAAGAGGGGTCTATTCGGTCTCGCAGGTTTGTGCTCGTCGAATGTTCGATCCCGTTGAATAACTCGCTACAACGTGACAACAGAGGGCTCACTTGTCTCGTCACGACGCCGACGAGCTGAAGCGCTTTGGCAAAGCCCGGGCACTCTCTCTAGGACTGATCTGCGGCATTGTTTGCGAGCAAGCGCTTCAATTCCGGTTGTTGCGGCGAGAACTTGCACTTCCATCCCATCGCGTCGTTCACCGTCTTACAAACTGTAAGTCACAGTGAACCCTGGCTGGTGTTTGCTGGTGCTTACCGGTGTAACGCGTCCGGCAGTATGTGCGCGTCGAGTTTGCAGCAAATCTGAGCCACGGCAATTGCCATCGTCGTCTTGTTCCTTGTGGAACGCCTCGTCCCGTTTAACGGTTGTTATCATAATTACTCGAACTCGAAGTTGCATGTACCTCGAGGTGGAGCAGCTCGCCTTCTTACGACCGCTGAAACATGCATTGAATATTGCAGCGCAATCGCCACGCAGATCATCAGCGGTGGCGCAGAAGCTGGCGATCGATGAACGCTAGCTCCACCATCGCAGGAACAAGGTCTTGTTGCGATCTTAACGCCCGCCTCACATGGCCGGATAGGACAGTCTGCTCTTCACTTTTCTCCATGAGCGAGGTACGTTGCTCGTGCGGCAATCATGTTCGAGGCAGCAACAGGAAGCAAATGAGCATGATCGACTGACGTGGATTTCCCCGCGCGGCATGACAATAAGTACATGCACCGCATGCTTCGCTTTGGTGACATCTGCATCGACGGGATAAATTAGCCAATGCAAACACACGGCCGGCCAAAACCGAGCCGATCACGCTTGTATCGCTGCGCCTTTGAGGATAATGGTACTGGTATGCTGCGAGCACTGAAGCAGCATAATAGAAATAAGAACCGAACGTAGCACGCCGCAAACCTTCGTTTTGTTTCGGTTTTCCTAAGCTACAGCGCTAAAGTTACTGCATGAGACGGTCCCTGTACCAGGCACTAGTGCTCGTCGAGCACCGTTCTGGCGGTTCGACTCATTTTCGCAGTCGCGATCCTGATATGTTAATTGTAGTCTATCAACCAGACCGACGCAACCTGTCGTTAATGCCTCGGCTCAGCGGCATAGCTCCGCAACAACTGATCAACGCATGTTCTAGCATCTCGACAACCACTGCCGCAACGAAAGATCAGCGCTCATGAGCGGCATGCCGACCCAGCGAGCTCGCCTCCGCGCACGAACGAACCCCAGGCCGTCCAGCCCCGACCGAGCTCAAGATCTTGCTCGCTCGCGTCTTGTAAAACGGGCCTCTACGTCGACGTCGACCTCCTCGTTTGAATTGCACCCGACAACCAATCACTTCTGATAAAAAAGATACGGAAGGTGTCGCATATGGTGTGGTGCACACGAACATGCAATAAAACCTCGCCCATCCATCACTTGTCGAAATAGGCCCAATGCTGCATTTTGTATTGGACAGACGAGCCAGCGTGAAGTAACGAGTCGGTTCCAGTCGAAAAACCTCGGGTTGCCAATTCCATTGGATCCGCGCGCTGATTGGTCAAATAGAAGAGCATCAGCCAATCACCGTGCGGTTCTCGAGTAGAGAGCAGGGCGGCAACAGAAGGGCTCTCTCAAGGCGGACAGCAGCAGCACCCGTTGCCGTCGTGTGGACGGGCGGTACTCAAAGTCCGTGGCGGCATTTTCATTCTGCAATTTCCCGACTGTCACCGACGCCCGCGCACTTGTTTCTTCGAGTTCGCAGTCGTCCGTTTCCCGTCGAGACCAGCCAGAGCGTCTTCGATCAACTGAACCAGTCTTTCTGTCGACGAAGCCTCAGGCTCCGCACCAGACACACCCCAAATGGCTGGTGCCGCAGGTAACTCGTACATGTCCATGGCGACGCCCAACGACGTCAAGAACTACACGAACGACGTTGGCCAGATCCAGTGGGCGCAGGTGCCGCTGAACGCCGCGCTTGACAAGCTCAAGTCGTCCCGTGAGGGTCTGACATCCGATGAGGCCGAGAAGCGTCTGGCCGAGTACGGCCCGAACAAGCTGCCGGAGGAGAAGGTGAACAAGCTGACGCTGTTCCTGGGCTTCATGTGGAACCCGCTGTCGTGGGCCATGGAGGTGGCCGCCGTGCTGTCGATTGTGCTGCTGGATTACGCTGATTTCGCGCTGATCCTGTTCCTGCTGCTGCTAAACGCTTGCATCGGTTACTTGGAGGAGGTGCAGGCTGGCGACGCCGTGTCGGCTCTGATGGGCCAGCTGGCGCCCGAGGCGAAGGTGTTCCGTGACGGTGAAATTAAGAATATCCCGGCGGACCTGCTGGTCCCCGGTGACGTGCTGCGTGTGCGTCTGGGTGACGTGATCCCGGCCGACCTCAAGTTCCTGGAGGGCGATGCGATCAAGGTGGACCAGTCGTCGCTGACGGGTGAGTCGCTGCCGGTGACGAAGAACGAGGGCGACGAGGGTTACTCTGGCTCCGTTGTGAAGCAGGGTGAGATCGAGGCCGTGGTTACCAGCACTGGTGTGAACACGTTCCTGGGCCGCGCCGCCGAGAAGATCGCGTCCGCTGACGCGCACGGCCGTCTGCAGATGGTGCTGACGACTGTGGGCAACTTCTGCATGGTGTCGATCCTGTTCTGGTGTGTGGTGGAGCTGCTGGTGCAGATGGCCGGCCGTACGTCGCAGAACCCGTGCGTGATCGTGACGGACGGTTGCCTGGGTGTGGCCAACATCCTTGTGCTGATCGTTGGTGGTATCCCCGTGGCCATGCCGACGGTGCTGTCGGTGACGCTGGCCATCGGTTCGTCGGCTCTTGCTAAGGAGAACGCCATTGTGACGCGCCTGACGTGCATTGAGGAGATGGCTTCGATGGAGGTGCTGTGCTCGGACAAGACGGGCACGCTCACGCTGAACCAGCTGTCTGTGGACATGGACAACCTGATCCCGTACAACAACTTCACTGCTGGTGACATCCTCAAGTACGGTGCTCTGTCGGCTCGTACGGAGAACAACGAGGCCATTGATGTTGTGTGCCACAACTCGTACCCGGGCAAGGACACGATGTGGGAGGAGTACACTCTGCTGCACTACACGCCGTTCGACCCCACGACGAAGCGCACGATTGCCAAGCTGAAGGATAACAAGACAGGTGAGATCTTCCGTGCCGTCAAGGGTGCCCCGCAGGTGGTGCTTGACATGGACGTGAACGCCGAGACTCTGCGCGTGGAAGTTGAGGACCGCATCAACGAGTTCGCTTCTCGCGGCTACCGTGGTCTGGGTGTGGGTATCTCTCGTAGCGGTGATGTTCCGGTGGAGGAGTGCGAGTGGCAGATGATTGGTCTGCTGCCGCTGTTCGACCCGCCTCGTCACGACACGGCTGACACTGTGAAGAAGGCCATTGCTCTGGGTATTGCTGTGAAGATGGTGACGGGTGACCAGAAGGCTATTGCTGTGGAGACGTGCCGTCAACTGGGAATGCCGACGAACATCCTTGACACTTCTTTCTTCAACACTGCGCCGCCTCCCGGACTGAACCTGGCTCAGATGATCTACGACACGGACGGCTTTGCTCAGGTGTTCCCGGAGCACAAGTTCGAGATCGTCAAGCACCTGCAGTCTCTGGACAAGGTGGTGGGCATGACCGGTGACGGTGTGAACGACGCTCCGGCCCTGGCTCAGGCCGACATTGGTATTGCTGTGGATGATGCGACGGATGCCGCCCGTGCTGCCGCCGATATTGTGCTTGTTTCCCCCGGTCTGAGTGTGATCATCACGGCCATCCGCATGAGTCGTGAGATCTTCCTGCGTATGAAGAACTATGCCATGTACTCGATCGCCATGACGGTGCGTATCGTGTTCACGTTCGGTATCCTGACGGTGGCGTGGAACTGGTACTTCCCTCCGATTCTTGTTGTGATCCTGGCCATCCTGAACGACGGTACGATCCTGACGATCTCGAAGGACAACGTGGTTGCGTCGCCCCACCCGGACTCGTGGAAGCTGAAGGAGGTGTTCATTTCGTCGATCTCGTTCGGTCTGTGGTTGACTCTGTCTACGATTGTGCTGTTCGCGATCGTGAACAACTCGAGTGGTTTCGAGAGCACTGGTGT